GTCAGGGGTTGCGAGTCAATGCCTTTGGACATGACACTTATCAATCTTGCCCCAAAAGACAAATGGTCAGAAGTAAATGTAGTGTTTGTACAAAGGAGGTGTGTTGTAGAAAAGAACAGCCAAAGTAAAGAAGGGAACAATGACAAGGATAAACAAAACATTTATTTATATCAAACAATCTGTTAAAAATATTTCCTTCAGTGAATATGTTCCTATTTACATGTTAATTTTGTGTAATTATTGTTCAATGTATACGCATTTCTACTTCCAAAGAGATCTTCTTTTCAGGGATGCAGCAGCCCACATGCTTGGATGACATAATTGAACCAATGCAATATGAAGAAATTCCAAATTGGCAAAGAAGTAGATACTAGAAGTATTGAACAATATCAGCAATGCCAAAATGTGTATTCATTAAAATTGTCTTCTTCATAGTTCATCCTCCTATTATACTGTGAGTTCTTTTGACCTAGGATCTTTTCTTACTTAAAATCTGTACCCTGTTCCTCCCTCCTCTCTTCTACCTTCCTTCAGTGGTGAGCCTAGTGGTCTGTACCCTGTAAGCAATAAATGGTGTTCAGCTCTTTGCTATGGTAACATGACTAACCCTGTATTATTTTTATTGTTATTACATTTTATTGATGCTTTTTGTTTTTAATGTTGTAATATTACTTCCCTTTCCCTCACTCAGCGAGTCATCCCCCCCCTCTTTTTTTGGGGGGGGGGCAATGGGTTTAAGTGACTTACCCAGAGTCACACAGCTAGTAAGTGTTATGGGTCTGAGGTCACATTTGAACTCAGGTCCTCCTAAATCGAGGGCTGGTGCTCTATCCACTGTGCCACCTAGCTGCTCCAAGTCATCTCTTAAAACAAAGAATTTAAAAAGGGAAAAAATATATATAGCTTAGAAAAACCAGACAACACATTGACCAAGTCTGACAGTGTATGAATTATTCCACACCATTTAGTTCTTTACCTACATAATGAAGAGATAATAGTTCATAAATCTAGAGCTGGAAAAGGTCTCAGGTATCATTTAGTCCATCCCCATCATTTTGAAGACTAGGAAACTGAACCCCAGGGAGGTCATCACTTGTGCAAGGTCACCCATGTTGTAAGCATCAGAGATGGGACTTGAACCCAGATTTTGAGAAACATTTTCTCACCTCATCCATTGTTCTTTCCCCTTTTTATTGTTATGGTCATTGTTTATATTGTTTTCTTTTTCTTATTCTTCTAAGTTCATCCTATATCAGTTCATATAAATATCTTCCTGTTTCTCTGAATTTATATTTGTCATTTTTTTTGTGATTCAATGATATTCGATGACATTTATGTGCAATTTCTTTAGCCATTCCCCAATTGATGGGCACCTACTCAGTTTCTAGCTCATTACTAGCCCAAAATGTGTTATAATTAGTATTATGGAATGTGTGTAACCCTGTATTATTTATATATAGACAAGGAGGGCATGGCTTGATCAATAATGTCTTTAATTCATGTATCTGACAAACACTGTTTAAGCACCTTCTGTGTGCAATTCACTGTATGCCAAGTACCAAGGGAGAAAAAAAGATAAATAAAAGAGAGGGCTTCTGGACTTGTGTAGCTTACAGCCTCATTAGGAAATTGGGGAGTTATATACAGATAAAAACAATAATGAGAATCACAGAATTTGAGAGTTGTAAATTACCACAGCAGTCATTTAGTCCAACCCAAATGTGAACTTAATCCTTACTTTAACAAAATACATGAAATGCATTAAAAGAGTAGAAAGACCAGAAGAGGAAATGATCTTTTTCTGGTTGTGAGTAATTGGGAAAAGCTTCGTGAGGGAAATGGCATTTGAGCTGGGCCTTGAAAAATGGGTAGGATGGCTGGAGGATGGATGTGAGTGATGGAGCAGCTCAGGCATAGAAAAATTGGACCAAAGGTGAGAAGGCAGAAGAATTCAGGACACATTTGGGGACAGCAAGCAGTCTGGTTTAAGTGGGTTTGGAGTGGGTAAGTCATGTGATTCTGCATGTTGGTTTTTATGTGAGAACTGCTCCAAATCTTAGAACTATATTCTAACCCATTGGGATAGGTACCCCAATCTCAAACTGAGAGCTTAGACTAGCCCTGGACAGAATAATGGGGTAGATGACGTGCTATTTTTGCCTTCCCACTTGCCCTGACATCCCCCTTTACTTCCTCCTGGGGGCTGCTCCTGAGCCTCCCCCACCTTATGTAGAGGAGAAAGGAGATAGGGCAGGGAAGGCCTCAACCCTGATATGGACAAAACTCTAGGTGATCGTTTTGATTTCCATCCCTGCTCTTAGCTTTCTGTTCTTGAGTTCCTACTAAAAGAGCACTGAACGTGGAATTGGGGGACCCAGGTTCCAAATTTGCCTCTGTTCTTTATTACTTCTGTGACTTTGGACAATTCACTTCTCCTAGTGTCAATTTCCTCATCTGGATCACCCCAAAAGTTCCTTTCAACTCTGGAATTTCATATTTTAAATTCTCTTCCAGGTCTAACATTCTCTGGTCTGGATTCTAAGTGTAGCACCTGGTACTCTGAAAACTGACAACATTGGCTTGGGATCCACTTGCCTTTTTTCTGAGGTTTGGTGTGGCCATTTTGTGTAATCCCTTATTTAAATCATGGCTTGAACTCCTCTCCTGTACAATATTCTCTATTACCAGACCATGTAAGGGTCATTACTCCAATAACAAAAACCAATTAGGGCATAAAAGTAATGTAAATAAAAGATGGAATGGATTTGGAGAGTAATTTCTGCTACCCACTTACAAGTGGATGAAACTTCCTCTTTACTCTACAGAGATGAGAGCATAAGCCCACAATGCTCCCTGATAACCTTGCCAGCATTCAGTACTCATAACCCCAGTGGTAAAAGTTTAGTGGTGTCTCCTTTGTGAAATTCTGTGGGAGACCTCAAGGAAGAATGGGTCTGCTGATCTCACATGGAATTATAGGATCTGTGAAACCCTGTCAGTTTGGTCCTAGGATCATCATGACTTTTATGATATTCTAGGGATCCTAGGCTGTGCTATTCCACGGCCTCCCTCTTCTGTATCCCAATTTCAGCTGCAGCCCACATCTTACATGTCTTTTTCTATTTTTCCATCACTCTGGCAGCCTAACTTTTCTTATTTCTGCTTCTATTTACTGCACCTTAGCTTTCCTTTTTTCTCGTCCTTTCCAAGTTCGAGTTGCATAAGACAAATCCCCAAATTAGACCCTAGGTCCCACGACATTCTGATTTCCTGGAGATTCTTTCAGTAAATTGCTCCTTCTGTACCTTGTTATTTTGGGTACTTGAAGATACACTGGAGAGGATCTATTATGGGCAAGGCACTTCTTTTATGTCAGGTCCTATTCAGCCTTAAATCCTATGATCATAGATTGACGAGATGACCCTCCCTCCCAAAAGTGTTTGTATTTGGAAAGACTTTGAGGGCAGAGGAGCCTTTACGATCCCACTCTGCCACTTACACCTACCTATCTGATATTGGGCACAATACCCATACCTCTGGGAGGCCCATTCTTCTCACCCATAAAACAAGGGGTTGAACTAATGACCACTGAAGTCCCTTCTTGCTCTAAATCTATGACCAAAGACCTATAGGAAAGAGGTCATAAGAGATGGAATAACAAATGGTGGTATTTTGGGGATAGCGATCCAGCCCCATGTCTCTCAAATCTTTCCAAATAAGAAGCAGTTTTTGTTCCACCCAAAGGTGGGCCTTGCTACAGAAAATGAAGATATCTTAATAGGAGGCCTTTCTCCTGATTTCGTTAGAAGAAAAATCATGGGATTTTCCCTTAAAGAACCAACTTCACTTAGTAACGGAAATCAGTGCCCAAGTCACCGAACCTCCTTGCCACTCAACTTCTCTATCTGTAAAATGGGGATAATAATTACACTACTAGCCTCACAGGGTGCTCCCTCTCAGTTGAAGAAATACTTGGCATGAGAAAGGCAAAGGCAACGTGCTTCTAACTCCTGCTAATTCTTGAAAGTTTGGATGGTTTTCCTTTAACTCCTCCCTGTCCATGCTTTGAAATAAAATCAGTGTTTCTTGGCTCTGCCCCTCCTTCCCCAGTGGCAGCACAGTTAAGTTTTGACTCCTTCCAGTTCTAAGTCTGTGATTCAATTCAACGACTTAATTCAACAAGAATGTATTAGACATTTACAATGTGAGAGCAGCTGCGGATACAAAATCAAAAAGGAAACAAAGGACTGCTATTCTATTTGGATACGAGCCTATTAAAAACATATCTTGGAGAATGTGGAGAACTTGCTGGTTTCAACAGAGAAGGGAGTCCTAGAGCTTAGAGACATCCTGGTATATTTGAAAGTGCACTTGGCTTTGGAATCAGTGGATAAGTCATTTCCTTTCTGTCAGTCTCAGTTTCTTCATCTATAAAACGGGCCTAAAATAATTTTCAGTACCTACATTAAAGGGCTGTTGTGTGTAGAGTCCCTTGTGACACTTAAGGCCATCTATAAATCTGAGGTATGATTCTTTTTGTTCCAAAGTATAAAGCACTCTATGAATGTGATTTGTGATTATTTTTATTGCAAACTACAAAATTCTATATAACTATGGGATATTATTGCTCTCTGTTGGGAGATTAAAAAAAATAACAAGTATACTGTATAAACTGAGAATGTTGGGTTTTTTTCCCCTTCTGTATTTACTAGGTCATTCAGCTTGCAGTCTAGGGTGTCATTCCTTCTGACTGTTGCTTTTAGTGACTTTTGCTGTAAACAATTGTGCTGTAAAGTGAGAGGCCTTCATTTATATTTTATGGCTTTTGCTCAATGAAACATAAGTTCACTTATAAATATTCAACATGCTATTTCAGTCAAGAAAGAGTCAACAAAGAACTAACTGAGAGTTTGGAGACAATACCAAGCAGTCTTTAAGGGGAAAATGTTGGGAATTCCCTGGATATTGCACTGAATTTGGACCCAAGAATTCTGTCTGGGATGGATGCTTCAGCTGAAGGAGGGAAGGAAAGAAAGTTCCATTATCATGTCAAAATGCCAGCTGAAGACAAATTTGACAGTATGAATCTTAATGTTAAAATTGACACTTCCTGGGTCTTCCAGGATGCAGAAGATGCTGATGATGTACATGGTGGTCTTTCTGAAGAAGGAGCAAAGAGCAGTGAAGAAGATGCTGGAATTCTTAGGAAACAGCTAGAAACATCAGAGCAAAGGCTGAGAACAGCTGTTGAGAAGCATGTGAGGTCAGAATCCCGGCTTAGAAACAGGTAAATACGCTATTTCAATTTGTTTTTAGAAATTTAAACAAAAAGCACCAGTTGCATGATACATATAACTTCACAGCAAATCAACTGGCATAAGTGTTCAGTACAGAGCCTGTGCCTGACAGTTGATTTTATGGTACATAGAGAAACAGAGATGATATGAATACTTTCATACATTGTAGAGAAGAAATTCAAAATGGGACCAGTGACCATCACATGCTTGAGATGTATAGATTCATAGACTTTCAGAGCAGTATTGAATATTGAATGTCAAAACTGAAAAAAAAAACCTTAGAACTTAAAATATTAGAGCTGGAAGGGACCTCAGAACATAGCAAGTAGAATGTGAGAGTTGGAAGGGACATTAGAACATAGAGTGTTAGAGCTAAAGGGAATATTAGAGATAATCTAATTTTATCATTATGCAGATAAGGAAATTGAGGTTCAGACAGGAGAAATTACTTATTCACAGGCACACAATGAATTAGTGGTAAAGCTGAGACTCTAACCCAGGTCATCTGATTTTCATCCTGTGTTCTTTGTAATATACCATGATGCCACCCTACATCACCGGGAGGCAGCTTTGTGTAGCAGGTAGAAGGAAGGGAAGGACAAGGGAATAGGCATTTATATAGTGCTTATTATGTGCCAAGGATTGCTCTAAGTACTTTTTTTTTTAACAAATATTATCTCATTTGATCCTCACAATAAATCTATGAGGTTGGTGCTATTATCACCATTTTACAGTTGAGGAAATTGAAGCAGACAGACTTAAGTGACTTGCCCAGGGTCATACATACTGAGAAGTGTTAACATCTAGATTTAAACTCAGGTTTTCCTGATTCCAGGCCTGGTACTCTATCCATTGTTCCACCAGCTGCCTTTGGACTTCGAAAGCCCTGGATTTGGAGTCAGGAAGACTCAGGTTTGATCTTCTCTCACTTACTTAGTGCCCCTGGGCAAATCATTTAATCTCTCTCAATCCAGCACTGTTGTGAGGACCAAGTGAAATAAGATACCTCGATGCCTTAAAAAAACCAAAAAAACAAAAAACAAAAAACAAAAAAACAAAAACAAAACAAAACAAAACAAAAACAACCAAAAAAAACAAACAAATAAACTGCTGGGGCAGCTAGGTGGCACAGTGGATAGAGTACCAGCCCTAAAGTCAGGAAGACCTGAGTTAAATCTGGCCTTAGACTAAACACTTGACACTTACTAGCTGTATGACCCTGGGCAAGTCACTTAACCCCAATTGCCTAAAAAAAATAAACAAACAAAAAAAGAAATAAACCATATAAATGTGAGTGGTGATGATGATGATGATGATGATGACAATGACAATCATGACAACTAAGTAGTTTGGTCTAAAAACAATGAGATGGTGGTCTTTCCATTTTAGTATTAAGTATGTCCTGCAGACTGAAAGCCTGGCTGCCTGGCTGCCTGATTCTCTGGCCCACTGGTGAGTGGCTAGGATAGCATTACCAATCAAAGAGAGAAGCCCTCTGTAGGTTTAGGGAAGGAAGAGTTTGGCTCCATTCACCACCACTTCTCTAGCTTCAGAGAGCCTGCTGTGTTGCTCTGTAGGGCCAGACTAAGAAAGGGGGACTCAATCTCTAGATGAGACAAAATACTTATTTTTATTGTGCTTTTATAGTGCTTATTATAGACAGTAACATAATTAAAGGAAAATAGAGGAAATTTGTGAGTTATGAGTTTGGGATGTATAAAATTCTTGTAGAGTGATTTGAGATAAACTTGAGCGAGAGAAAGAGAAGTGAATATGCATTGAGGGAAGAAAATGGCAGCATGAGAGAATGCCGTGGTTTAGTGAAACTATTAGGCCACATTACAAACCACTGCTAAAAGCAACAAATCAAATATTCATCACTTCAAATGCTATAGGATTGAAGAGCTGGAGTTGTCAGAGCAGAAGCTTCTTCAAAGGGTCAGTCAGCTGAATGCCCAAGTGTACCAAGAAGAAAATGCCTATCTTCAAACTAAAGAGAAACTGGAGGAGATTCAGGAAGAATTGATGGATCTGGTAACTTCTCATCCTTTCTACTCTGTGTTTATGTTACCTGGAAATTTAACAGAAGGCACTTGTAAAAGGTATAGTTTGGTCAGTGGGAAAGGTCTTGACTGGGGAATCAAGAGATCTGGGCTCCTGCCTCAGCTGTTTATGTGATCTTGGACTTCTAATTTCGTATACTATAGAATCAAGGATTTTGATCTGGAAGGGATCAGAGGCTATCTGGCCCAACTCTCCTCATGTTAAAGATGAGGAAACTGAGGACTGCAATAGTGAAGTCACTTACCCAGGGTCACACAGGCAGTATGTGATAGAGCAAAGATTTGAACCCAAGTCATTTGATGCCAAATTCAGTGTACCTGTGTAGGTCACATTTCTCTCATCTATAAAATGAGTTAGACTAGATGACCATTCTTTCTTGACCCAACATCTTATGGGAAATGGGAAGAAGCATGGTTAATGGAAACAGCACTAGATTTGAAGTTAGAGAAACTAGATTCAACCTGCATGATCGTAAACAAGTGTTCTTAGGTTCCTTTTATTTCCATCATTCTATATTCTGTGTTCTAAATTCTCTTCCAAATTGGACATTATAAGTTCTAAGATTCCTCCAAGCTGTAGAAGTCCATGTACTGAGATCATTTTTGGAGTTGACATTTCACTTTGAGTGTTTTAAGTGTTCTGACATCCCATATTCTATGTTCTGAGGCCTCTTATTGGTCTAAAGCTCTACATTCTAAGATCCCTTCCAGCTCCGATGTTACATTTTCTGTCCCAAGGACCCTTCCCAATTTAACATCCTTTGTTCTAAAGTCCTTTCTAGGTCTAACATTTTCTGTTCCAAGGTCCTTGGAACAGCTTTGACTTTCTGTGATCTTTGTTCTAAAGGGCCTTCCATCTCTCATTCTCTTCCAGTTGTAATACTGTATGTTCTCTTGTCTCTTCTAGTTCTGACATTCATGCTCCATGTTCCAGGGACCCTTCTAGCTATGACATTCCATGTTCTAAGGCCCCTTCCATTTATATTATATTATGAGACCTCTTTCAGCTTTGACATCCTGTCAAATAAGTGGAAATTGAGGATAGTAGATGTGTATAACATTTCATCCATAAACATGGAATGCTAATGTAGGAGAACCACACTGCTATTATTATGTAGCTAAAGTCCTCATTAAGGGATGTTTTTAAGTCAGCTAATTTTATTTAAAGCATATTATATAATTGTGATAAAATTATGAAACAGAAAGTAGATTGATGTTAGTAACAAACCTGGTTGGTAACTTTTTTAAAAAATTGAATTCAAATAAAGCCATGGTAACACATCTGCAACTGGTATTTCAACTAGTTCATTCTCATTGAAATATGGTTCTATACTGATGCTCAGTGAAGTGAGCAGAACCAGGCGAACATTGTACACAGTAACAGCAACATTGTGCAATGGTCAACTTTGATAGAACTCACTCTTTTCAGCAGTACAATGATCTAAGATATTTCCAAAAGACACATGTTGGAAAATACTATCCACATCCAGGGAAAGAATGAGGGAGTCTGAATGCAGATTGAAGCATAATATTTTCTCTCTTTTTTTGTTTTTGTTCTTTCTCGTGGTTTTTCCCCTCCTTCTAATTCTTATTTCACAATGTGACTAATGTGGAAATATGTTTAATATGATTGTACATGTATAGGCTATATCAGATTGCTTGCCATCTTGGGGAGGGTAGAGGGTAGGGAGGGAGGGAGAAAAAAAATTTGAACTCAAAATCTTATAAAAGTGAATGTTTAAAACTATCTTTACATGTAATTGGAAAAATAAAATACTAAGAAAAAATGCAGTATAATTCTACAGCTCTAACTGAGGACTTGGTGAATTATAGACCTCACTCGATTTCATCATATCTTTTTCTAATTTTCTACTTATGGGAGAAACCAGATAGGAGTTGGCATTTTGTTTCCATAGCTTACTGTGTGACTGTGAACTAACTATTTAATATGAGTTTATAGACTCTATAGTTTAGAGCAATGGTCTGTAATATTTTTCTTTCACCTCCTTACCCTATCATTAAGAAAGAAAATGGGCACATGAAGATAATATGCAAATATTTACTTGTTTATAAATTATATTCATGTACTATTGTACTAATAGTGTACATGACAAAAACAAAATAGAAATTTAAAGGGGTGTAGAGGATGAAAATAAAAGGATGAAATAATATTTTATCCTCGAGTCAACAGGAAGTCATTAGTGTTTGTTGAATAAAAGAGCAATATGGTCACACTTGTGCTTTAGGAAAATCCTTCTGAGAGCTGTGTGGAGAAGGGTTTGGGGAAGGAAAAATGTGAGGACAAATTAAGAGGATATGGCAGTAGTGTAAGTAAGAGGTGATGAGGGTCAGAATGAGAGTGATAGCTGTGAGTTGAGTGAAGAGAACAGATGGGAGAGGTATGAAAAGATAGAAACATCAAGATTTATTGACTGGATACGTCATGTGAGAAAGGGTGAGGAGTCAAAAATGACACCAAAGTTCTGAATGTGGGTAACTGGAAGGATAGTGGTATCCTTGACAGCAAGAGGTACATTTAGAAGAGGGGTCAGTTTCAGGGAAAAGATAATGTGAGAACCTATCCGTGCCTGTTGATATTGTGTACTCTTCTCAGTCCCATCCAAATAAAAAGGGAGAAGAAAGGTTTATAGCCCCAAAGACCACCTTCTGAGAGGAGACAGGATCCTACACTGTGGACAGAGCAGTAGGTTTTCCTAATGTCAGCTGTGTGTTTGCTACTATGGGTGTTCAAGTAGTGATTAGACTATAACTACCCTGAGGGACTAAAGCCTGACTCAGAAGATGGTAGGTTGGGAACTTGCAGCATGGATAGAGATGATGAAGTATGGGAGTTAGGGGGGGATAAGGGTTAGTTCAGAGACAAGCCATACAACTGGTTATTGTGATGAAAGTTGGATGTGACCCACCTTCTCATCATGCGATCAGTTGATTACCCAATTCTAGGATAAGACCATGGAATACATTTTGAATATCACTGGTTTAAAGTACAGAACATTGGATTTGGATTCAGAAGAGAGTTGTCTTCAGTGTATTGAAGGGCTGTCATGGGGATGAGGCAAGGCAACAAAGCATTTATTAAGCATTTACTATGTACCAGGAACTGTGTTAAACATAGGGATACAAATACAAGCAACAATACAGTCGCTGATGTGACAGAGCTTACTTTCTAATGAAGGAGGGCAATATACAAAAAGGAGCTGGAAGGGGGTGGTGAGAGGGAAGGTACCCGCACAGGAGCAGGGTGGCAAAGTTCTGAAATATGTCAGAGGCAAAGCTGAGAGGGAATGAAATATGGCTGACCTGGGCCTATTCCCAGAATGGAAGAGCTCACTAATAGGAGAAGGAGGCCAGAGAAGCAGAGGGATATTACAGGGTGAAAAGGCCCCACTTGCTTAGGGAAGTTCCAGGATGAGAGGGCTACTAAGGCATAGTGTTGAAGTCTCAAGTGTCAGAAGGAGGTACCAGAGGGGTTCTCTCTGGCTTTAGAAGGCTGGAGAAGGAAATGGCAAACCAGTCCAGTATTTTTGCCAAAATGACCCCAAAATAGGGTCACAAAGATTCAGACATAATTAAAATGACTGGTTAACAACAAAGTTTCTTCCAACTTGGAAAATTTGTGACCTGGGTTCAAATCTCACATCTGACCACAATTGTCTACACAACCTTAGGCAAACCACTGAATATTTTGGTCCTTCAATTTCTTCCTCTATAAAAGAGAAATAATAATGTCTGTTCTGTCTAAGCTTGCTGGGTTATTATGAGGAAAGTGCTTTGTAGACATGAGCTGCTGTTAATATTATTATTTTTTTCAGGTTGAAGAAACTGAAAGAGCTCGGAGGGTACAAAGAGAAAAACTTCAGCAGTTTCAGGACCAGTTGTGCAGGAAAGACGAAGAACTGCAGAGCCTGCTTTCGTCCTTTGAGCATTATAAGTGGAACCAAAGGCAGCAAATGGCCATGGTGAGAGAGCAGGAAGGCTTCCTCAAGGGCCAGGTGCTTCGACTGGAGGAGGAAGCCCAGCACCTCCGCGAGGCCACAGCTTCCCTGATGACCGAGCTTGAAGCAGGGGGAAGCCAAGGCTTGGATTCCAAGTTACAGGTCCCATTGGAAAAGAGTAGATCAGAGCCTTGGAGTATTGGGGAGGATCTGGCTGAGCTCCGGGCTTTCTTAGAAGTGGGTGAGCTTCAGGCTCGGAGACAACTGGCCACTTTGCAGCAAAGCCTAATGGCACTGCTTGCTAAAGAAGAGAGCAACAACCAAGAGAAGGAAAAAATCCTGCGTCAACTCCAGGAGCACCGGGACACAGTGCTCTACCTCCTCATGAACAAGCTGGAGGATTCCCAAGGTCTGGGGTCAGAGCTGCCAAGGGAGGAGCTCAAAGAGCAAAATGGCAGCCTGCAAGATGAACTAGGAGCCAAGGTAATAAATGAGACCCAACATGGCACCCCTCCCAAGGACAGTGCCAACTTGGTAAGTGAAGAAAATACGGGATGTGAGCGTGAATTTGTTTACTTAGAACTTCTTTTTTTACACTCATGAATTGGGAAGTTATGGTTCTATGCTAGGTGTTATTTGGGGGAAGGAAGAGAAGGGAAGAGAATAAGCATTTGTTAAGTACCTACTGTGTGCCAGAGATGTGCTAAGAACTTTTACAGATATAATCTCATTTGAACCTTAATCAGGGAGGTAGGTGTTCTTATTGTTCACATTTCCAGTTCAGGAAACTGAGGTGGGAAGGGGTTAAGTGACTTTCCCAGTCATTGTCTGAAACCAGATTTGAATGCAGGTCTTCCTGACTCTAGACTTGGTGCTTTATCCCCTGTGACACCTAGCTGCCCAGGATAAATGGCATGGCCACAGCTCTCTTGGAGCTAAAAGTTTAGTTAGTAATAACAACAATGAAATAGTAATAACAACAATAAAAATAAATTGTAATAACTGATATTTATATAATACTTTAAGGCTTATGATGAGCTTTATAACAACCCTAGAAGGCAGGTACTACTATTATCCCATCCTTTAGATGATAAAACTCAGGCTTAATATAGCTGTAGCTTACCCAGTCACACAACTGTTAAGTATCTGCAGTAGGGCTCCAACCTAGATCTTCCGTACTCCAAGTGAGGCACTTTATCCACTATGCTCAGTGTGGGCCTAGGTGAAATAAAGAACACAATGCTATATGAAACTGCCTGCTGGACTTCGTGATGCAAACTATAAGTACTCTTAAGAAGCCCGAGGAAAGGAAGCTTAGTGGCTTAGTCAGGAGAGCCTTCTTAAAGGAGGAACTGGTATTTGACTAGGACCTTGGACAGTGGGTAGGGTTTTGGGAAATTGGAGGAATTTAGGGATAGTCATTGAGAGAAAGGGAAGGAACCAAAATGGTAACAAATACTAGAAACTGGGTAGATCAGCCTGAGAAGAGTCACTATCACTAAAAGTCAATAATACTTCAAGGGTTTATGGAAGTTATCCTGTATATAGCACATCTGTACATAGTTATTTGCATGTTGTCTTTCTCATTAGACTGTGAGCTCCTTGGGAGCAGGGACTGTCTTTCACCTTTCTTTGTGTCCCCAGGCCTTAGTATGGTGCTTGGCACAAACTTGTCTCTTAATAAATATTTATTGACTAACTGGCTGAGCCTTGTACCAAGGCCGATCAGAGCTCCTGTGCCACAGAAGATGGTCTTAGAGAGTTGCCTTGCTGAAAAATTCATCATGCTGTAGCCAATCTGTTGATAGGCATCTCTAAACATGACAGGACATATCCTGGGATACCAGACATCTAGTCCACCACAAAACCTGTGCTTGAACCTCTTCCAAAATGGTAGAACCCATAATCGCTTATTTTCTACTAGCACAGCTTTTGAGAGCCAAGTGTCACCTGCTCATAATAATAAGATATTGGAAATGCATTTTAGCAGGGGAATAATTATGAATATTTTCCATTACTATTATCAAATATCACATGTATTTAAGAAGTTTATAGTTATAAAGCACTTAATATAAATGTTCTCTTTTGCAGCAGGATGGAGTGAAAAAGCAATGAACTTGGAGTAAAAAAATCTGGGTTTCAGTCCTAGTTATGCTACTTATTACCTGTATGACTTTTGAAAAGTCACTTGACCTTTTGGTACCTCAATTTCCTTATGTAAAGAATTGGAGTAAATTGTCTTTAAGGACCCTTTCAGATTTAAATATTATGACTTACCCAATAACCCTGTGAAGTATAGCAGGCAGCTATTTCTCACATTTTATTATGAACAAAATCATGGGATCTCTTATTTCATGGGTCTCCAGAAGGGAATCCAGAGGCTTTACATCTCCCCTAGCAGAGTGGTCTGTACACAAAGGGTACTTAATAAGTGTTTATTGTTTAGTATTGTATTATAAATAATACAGTTTTGTTCTGGCCTTGCCTGCTGAAATGTGATAAAGGTCATAGGCCAGCACAGCACATTTCATTAGGGTGGATGCCTTGAGAATTTTATTTTCTTCTTTTTTTAAAGCACATATTTATTAATAAGTCAATCATAAAATATATAATTCTTATTTGTCTAACAAAATAAAGAAACTAACATGTAACTAAATTAGTTTTTTTTTAATCAACAATTAAGCTTGACTGAAATATAGGGATAGGGCTCAGACCTGTGGTTTCCTGTATATAGGGAACTCTGAGATAAGGAAACTCCCTTGAATAGTGTAGATTGGCTCCTTATTGGCAATTTATGGTCTTAGTTACAGGCAATTTATAGTCTTAGAGACCATACTATACTATACTATAACTATACTATACTATAAGGTACCTATATATATAGTTACATATATATATAGTTACATATATATATGTATATGTAACTATACATACTATAAGGTACCAATCTACATTTTACTAAATGGAGGCAAGGGGTTAAAATCCTGAGTGTGGAAAACCAGATTAAAATGTAGTCGGGAAAATTTTAAACCAACTAAATAAAAATACAATACAACATAGAGAATATTGATTTGTACTTTCCTAATTCAATATGCAACTACAGGAATCTATTTTTGTTTGAGTATGATAGCACTGACCTAGAGTAACTTGAGGAAGCTGGGTGACTTGCCTATAATTACACACCTTAGTTGTCAGAGGCAAAACCTGGGTCTTCTTCATTTTACTATCCATTATACCATGCTTCCTCTCAGTTTAAAAATATAAATAAAAATGGGGATACAAAATATCATTTTTGAACAGAGAATGTCTGGGCATGCTAGGTATACCCTGCATATTTGTCAATGATAGAGATGCAGGCAGAGAAATGGAAGGCAAGATGGTGCAGTGCAAAGAGGCCAGGATTTGTAGTCAGATGTCATTCAGTTGTTTTTCAGTCTTGTCTGACTCTTTGTGATGCCTTTTGGGGTTTTCTTGGCAAAGATACTGGAGTGGTTTGCCATTTCCTTCTCCAGCTCATTTTACACATGAGGCAACTAAGGCAAACAGAGTTAAGTGACTTGTTCAGTGTCATGTAGCTAGTGAGTGTCTGAGGTCAGATTTGAACTCAGGAAGATGAATCTTCCTGACTCCAAGCCTGACACTCTATCCACTTTAGCTGGTTTGAGTTAAAATCCCAGCTCTACCAAATGCAAGTTGTGTGACCTTGGGCAAGTCACTTTCCTTACTGATAAAAGGAGGAGATTGAACTGAATGTCTTCATTGGTTCCTTCAAGCTCTTTATCTAGGATCTTATGGTGAGGTGGAAGGTGTGTTGGATCAAGAATTGGGAGACCTGCTTTCTCCTGTGGTGTTAGAAGTTTGGGACCCCCTTTGAGGAAGGAGGTTGAGGGGAATACCGGTGCTCTCTCTCTCTCCTACACTGGCAGTGAGCTTCTATCTCCAGCTCTCATCAGCTGAGGAGTAGCTGAGGAGGGTAGCTTGGACTCCACTCTCTATTCTCCTTGCCAGAGAATAGAAGGGTTCTGGCGTAAGAACGGTCTACAGGTGTAGGGAACCTGCAGCCTCAAAGCCACATGTGGCCTGCTAGGTCATATGTGGCCCTCTAGGTCCTCGAGTGCATCCCTTTGACTGAATCCAAACTTCACAGAACAAATACCCACCGCTGGTCTAGCAGCTACAAAGAATCAGATAATTTCCAGAGTTGGAAGGAAACTTAGAGGCCATCTAATCCAACACATAGACAAAAGTAACCCCAAATAGAACATACTCAGCCAGTGGTAATCCAGTTTCTTCTTGAAGAAGTCCAATAAAGGGGAGCCTATGACCTCTTTAGGCAGTTTGTTTCACTCCTGGAAATCTCTAATTGTAAGGATATTTTGTCCTAGGAGACAGAAGATGCAAAGCATTAAAAAAAAAATGTCCTTACGTAGTACAATTATCAGAAATAGATGCTTGCTCATTGATTGATTGAGTCCTAGTGCGAAGAAGAAATGCTTTTTTGCATTGCAGGAACAAAACATCTTTTTGACCTTGTCACTTTCATTATGACAGCACTTTGCTCATTTTAGCGTAACTAGAGAGACACCTAGTGGCAAGAACAGGACTCTTCATGTTTCTAGTCAAATCCAAAGAGCATATACCTAGGTGCCTTTTTGCTCCATACAAAATCCTTGCATCCATTTGAAAATGGCAAAGTTGGGTAATGAGACATTATTAAGTTGTACAAACACGGGAGAAAAAAAGTTATGTGTGATATGAAGCTGTGGAAAGTTCATAGTATAAGAAGTCAAGAGGCCTCAATTGTTTTGTTGTTGTTCAGTCATTTTTCAATCACGTCTGACTCTGTGATCCCATTTAGGGTTTTCTTGGCAAAGATACTATAGTGGTTTGCCATTTCCTTTTCCAGATCACTTTACTGTTGAGGAAGCTGAGGCAAACAGGGTTAAGTGACTTGTCCAGAGATACACAACTAGTAAGTGTCTGAGGCCAGATTTAAATTCACAAAGATGAGTCTTCTTGACTTCAGGCCTTGTACTCTATCCATTCTGCTACTTAGCTGCCCAATGACATCTGTCCAACACAGGACCAAAGGGTCGCATGAGTGTGACCACAACACTCCTGAGTATGGCTCGACCAGATTACAATGTAATGAGGAAATATTTAACAAAATAAGTAAAAATACAATAAAACATAGATAATATTACAGCTTAAAACTAAGTCAATATGCAGCTTATAGAGGTCCTTATGTATGGGCTTAGTGGCCCCATTTCTAGTTGAGTTTGACAGCATTGGTCAAGATTATGCCATTAATTCCCTGTGTGACCTGGAATAAACCACTTGCCTACTCTTGACTTCAGTTTCCTCACCTGTAAAATGAGAGAACTGGACTAGGTGAATTCTCAGGTCCCTTTGCAGCTCCAACTTTCTATGTTTTAAGGTTCCTTCTATCTCAAAGTTGCTTCTAGTGCTAATTTCCTACGAACCTGAGAACGCGATGACATGCTTAGCACCTTTTAAAATTAAGATGCTAGCCTATGTGATTACTAAATCAAGAAAGGAGTTATGATTGTTTGCTTTTGGAAGCCCTTAGAATTGAAAATAATTACTATCAGAAGTCTGCCATTTACAGAGGACACCTTGAGTCATTAGTGGGGACTGCTGGGGAAGTGCCAAGCCCTGCAATGATGCCAGATTTCCTATCAGGATTCATGACCAAGAGTCTGGCCAAATGTGGGGGCAGGGAACTAAGGCATCTGATTCACAGTTCAGGTATTTAGTCAAACAACGGATGCCAAATCAACGTCACCATGAGCTTGATAAAGAGAAGAGACAACTTCACTGGCAGAACCAATGCAAAGACAAACCTGAACTGGAAGGGAGCCTGAGTCCAAATCACAGGGAAGCCGTCATCTCATTGTGGAGAGGAGTGAGTCAGTGATAGGAGTGAGAGCCGTGTAGATTTCGTTTAATTAATGGGGAGCTATCCAATACTGCACGTTAAAACGCTCAAGGTACCGTAAGATTAGAAGTTTACACTTGATCTCCCAGCGTCTGCTGGATAACAGAGCTGTTTTAAGTCATTTAACTCAGATAAACTCTCTCAAAAAGTTGGAAGGAACTTTATTAAACTATACATACACACACACACACACGCACACACAGAGCCATTAGATTAAATTCATTTTGAAGAAGAAAGAGAAATATATATCTAGAAGTTAGACCCACCCTAAGTAGTCATGACTGTGGAGGTAGGTGGCTCAATGGATAGAGCACTGAGCCTAGAATTAGGAAGACAAGTTCAAATTTGGCCTCAGACATTTATTAACTGTGTGATCCTGGGAAATTCTATTAACTGCTATTTGCCTCAGTTTCCTCATCTGTAAAATGGGCATAATAATAACACCTATTTTCCCCTGACCAGGGTTGTTGGGATTATCAAATGAGATAATATTTGTAAAGCACTAAACATAGTACCTGGCACATAGTAGATGCTATATAAATTTTAGCTGTTGCTGCTATTACTACTACTACCACCACCACCACCACCACCACCACCACCACCACTACTACTACTACTACTACATGTATGGGGATTTTAGATTTGTCTTTTCTGTTTCTTGCTGGAGAGGCAGCATCATCTAGTGCATAGGGAGCTAGCTTTGAAGTTAAGAACTCAGGTCAAAGCCTACCTCTATCACAGACTGTCTGTGTGGCCCTGGGCAAGTCACTTAACCACTCAATGTTCTAGACAACTCTAAGATGGTGGTTCTTAATATTCAGGGGGTGAGTGAACTTGGATGGGAAAAATACCTTACAAATTAAACTAAAACATAATTCTTGGAAGGGGTCTATCAAAGGGGTTTATAACATAGAAAAGATTAAGAACTCAAGTACTGAGACTGTAAGTTGCAGAAAAATGTGCAAATCATCATTGATAGAGGGAATATCCTCACCTGGCAGTTCCCTCTGCCAATAAAATCACAGGTCCAGCCCTCATTCCTTTTTTTTTTTCTGACATGCCTTCTGTCTATTAGCAATTGTAGTTGCTATAAATAAACTATTGCAAATTAATGGCATAGACCCCAGGAAGGTCAGTGATAAAAAGAAAAATGTTCCATATGCACAAAAATATTTAAAGCCATATTTCCTATGGGAGTAAAGAACTAGAAACCAAGTAGATGTTCATCAATTGAGGAATGGCTAAACAGATTATGTTGTGATAATGTAATGAAATATTATTGTGCTGCAAGAAATAATGAATGTGATTAATTCACGTAGACCAATATAAAGTGAAGTAAGGCAAGGAAAACAGTGACTATGATGACGTAAAGGGAAAGAACAATCTCCATAAAACAACTGAAACAAAATGTTGTTAAATTATAATAATCAAGCTTGACCCCAAAGAAGATATAGGAAGAGACATCCTCCAACTCCTTTAAATAATTGGAATATCTACAGGTTTGGAACACTGAATTAAAAGTCAGTCTTTTGTGTTGATTGCTTTTTCTAAATTATTTTTTGTCTTCTTACTCTTTAAAAAAGTCTTCACTGGGGGCAGCTACGTGGCGCAGTGGATAGAGCACTGGCCCTGAAGTCAGGAGGACCTGAGTTCAAATCCGGCCTCAGACCAAACACTTGACATGTACTAGCTGTGTGATCTTGGGCAAGTCACTTAACCCCGATTGCCTCACTAAAAATAAACAACAAAAAAAGTCTTCATTATAAGAGATGGCTCAGGGGGAGGGGCAAAGGGATGACCATAGGTGATGTGATGATAATAATAGCATTTATATAATAACTTTTGCAAAGTGCTTTATAAATATAATCTCATTTGATCCTCATGATAACCCCAGGATCTATTATTATCCCCATTTTATAGAAAAGAAAACTGAGGCATACAAGTTAAGTGACTTGCTCAGAATCACACAGCTAGCAAGTATTCATTTGGATTTGATTTTAGGTCCTTCTGACTCCAGGTTTGGTGTTCTATCCTTGATTTTGTAAAAAACAAAAGTTATCAATAAAATTTATTTTTAAAAAGAAAATAAATGGTAGCAATAACAATAGGTTGCCCAGTAATAGATTGCTATAGTTTTTCCCATCCTTTGGGAATAGTCTAAATCAGTGGTGTCAGATTGAAATAGAAAATGGGTCCTGTCATATATTGATTTAGAAATCCACAAATTAACACTATTTGTATTTTAATCAAATATTATGACATTGTATTAATCTATTTGAATTTGTACCACATTTTATTTATTTTGTTAGATATGTCCCATTTAAATCTTAATCTGGTTCTGGCCTTACTTGGGAGTTTTGGGGCCCAAGTTTGATGCCTATGGAAAAGAGAAGGTACCATATTGTACCTGAGCTATCTAAAATTTGGGATTTGTTCCTACCTGAAGCATCTTAGCCCAACTTTCTTCCCACGTTGTTAATCATTATTTTTCTCCCCAGGAATATTCATGTTTACCAGAAATTATGATATTTAATTTAACACAATTTAACAAAAGTCTGTTAAGAAGTAAGTGCAAAGTACTATATGAGACTCTGGGAATACAAATTCCCAAAAGCAAAAGCAAAAAGTCCCTACCCTCAAAGAACTTACAGTATATATATGTTCTATTAGAATAACACAACCTATACATAGATATATGAATCCAAAGCATATCCAATGAAGTAATTTTAAGAGCAAGAAAGGTAGCAGGGTCTGAATGTTGTGCTTGGAATCAGGAAGACCTGGGTTCAGTTGCCACCTCTGAATCTTACTAGCTGTGAGATCGTGGATAAATCTTTTAACCTTTCTGAACCTCAGTTTCCTCATCTGTAAAGTGGGAATAATAATATCTGTAGTATTCACCTGATGAGTTAGTTGTAAGGCTCAAATGAGATACTGCATATATGGCATCTCAAAAAGTCTTGATGAGGTTCTAAGCTTTTTAGTAACTTAGTGTGGTCCTGAGCTACTAAAAAGGGTGGCTAGGTGGTACAGTGGATAGACTTCTGGGTCTAGAGTCAGGAAGATTCATCTTCCTGAGTTCAAATCCAGCTTCAGATACTTACTAACTGTGATCCTGAGCAAGTCACTTAACCCTGTTAGCTTCAGTTTCCTCATCTGTAAAATGAGCTGGAGAAGGAAGTGGCAAACCACTCCAGTATCTTTGCCAAGAAAACCATAAATGGGGTCCAAAGAGTCAGACAGGACTGAAGTGGCTGAAAAACAACAAAAAGAAGCTATTAAAAAAGCTTAAAATCTCACTAAGATTTTGTATAGTGTAAGGCACTTTATAAATGTTGGTGTTTATTATTAATAACAGTTATGAAATCAGGGAAGACCTTTGTAGGAGGTGGTACCCATGCTGTGTCTTGAAGGAATCTAGGGATTTCAAGAGGCAAATGAGAAGAGTGAATACATTTCAGACATAGCAGATCATCTATTTAAATGCATGGAGACTGTAGATGGAATATCCTTCGAAATGTACAACTCTCAGAAAGTCTACATGACCATCATGTTATTGGAGTTTTCTTGGCATGATTGCCTATCTATTGAAATTCTCAGGTAGATTTGTACTCTTCTAATGGATGTTCTTTCTCCTCCCATAGAGATTACAACCCTTTTCTATCCACTCATCCTGAATGATTCTCCTTGTGCTTTGGTATAAATCTTTCACAGAGGAAAGGCAGAGTGATGGAGAGGAAAGGGCACAGGATTGCGATTTGAGATCTGACTTCGAGTCTTGGCTTTGTCACACTACTTGGCTGAGTGACTTTTAACAAGTCACTTTTCCTCTCTAGGCTCCAGTTTCTACATTTACAAAATGAAGGAGATGAAAATATGCTCATCTGATGATTTCTAAGAGCCCTTCCAGCACTGATAGTCAGTGACTAGGTGATCTCTAAGGTCCTTGCTGATTTTATGATCTACATAGTGCAGTCTTTTAATATGTTGAGATTACTGTTATGGCATTCATACTATCTATTGTCTCAAATTCTTACTAGATGACCAGTCTACACTGCAGAAAGATAGTGAATTGTGCCCATAGTTGAGAAAAGATAAGAGTTTTGATAAATAATTCAGTGCTTTCCATATCCCAAAGCGGCTGGACATTGAAGTTCATCTTTTTAACACTAACATTCTCCTGGAAATACTATCTGACTGTGAATCATAAAACACTTCAGTCTCAAGAGGAGTAAAACTGTAGGTGACCCAAAGAGTGATGGAAAGAGATGCATCATGGGTAAAAGTAGCCAGTAACACATGTACCAACAATAGTGCATAGTCCAAAAGAAATCAGAAAGATCTTCCTTATAGCAAATTAAGATTAAAGTATGGAGCACAGAAAAACCATGTTTTATAAGAATAATATACATAACCATAGTATTTTGCTTTTAAATTTTCAGGAAGCTCAAGACTTGACTAAAACCAAAGACTTTGAACTTTTGTTCTCTACAGCATCACAGGCACAGGTAGGAACAGGAGTGTTTGAACTGGGCTGTGGTTCTGTATCCACTCTTAGATAAGATCTGAGAGTTACCCTCTGTCCTTCAGGACTTTGTCCATTCAAAAAAGATATGATTGGTTAGTTAATGGAGGTGTATATGGATCTCATTCAAAGAAACTGAAGATTAAATATGTATAGTCACAATGACAACTCTCATCAGAGCTTTTTTTTTTAAAGTAGGCTTAATCAATAGATACATGTTAATAGACTTAGATCAAGTGCTACCTCCTATAAAAGGCCTTTCCCGATTCCACCCTTTATCAGTGTCCAACATTCCACCACTATGAAATGTCTTTTAAAAATATGTTTTTTCTGCTTTCTTATATACATGCACTTTTTTTCCCTCAGTGGAATGTAAAATCCTTAAGGATAGGAACTGTTTCATTTTCTTTATTTAAAAAAGGACCCAATATAGTGCCTGGCACATCATAAGTAGTTAATAATTCCTTGATAAATTGAATTGAATTTATAGTCATAAAGTAATTTCAAATATATTGTTTCATTCGATCCTCAGCATCAACTCAGTGAGGTAAATAATGTGACTGTTATCTTTATTTAACAGATAAGCAAACTGAGGCTCAAAGAGGTCACAGAAAATTATCATTAGAAGGGGCCTCAAAAGCTATCTAGTTTAACCCATAATCCCCCAAAAGAATTCTCTCAAAACATGCACAAGATACCTAAGTAGCATGATAGGGAAGATTCAGATTTTATCTAAGACTCTGTCCTGTCCTCATGAAACTTTTTGCACAATATAGGTATAAGACATAAGTATAGATATAAAAAATTAATCATTTCTGATATGTATATTAGAGATTTACAAATCAAAAAGTTTTGTAAGATCTAAGAGAGAAGATCATCACTAACTTGGAGCATAGGTAAATGGTTCATGTAGAAAGTTCTCTATGTTTGTGTCTTATCCCCTTACTAGTCTGTAAGCTTCATTAAGTTGGGGGTGTGGCTGGCTTACAATTTGCATCTTTCTCTGGCATGTCAGTCAATCAATCAGTCAATCAACAAGTATTTTTTTAATGCCTGTTATGTGCTAAGCACTGGAGGTACAAAGAAAAGGAAATAAAAGTTACTGGGGAAGACAGCATGTAAACGACTATGAACAAACAAGATATTTGCAAGCTGAATTATAGATAATCAATGGAGGGAAGGTGGTAGCATTAAGGATTGGAAGAGACTTATTGCAGAAGTGGTAATTTTAGCTGAGACTTAAACGAAGCCAGGGTATTTAGGAGGCAGAGATGAAGAGGAAAAGAGTTCCAGGCACAGCAAGTGAAAATGCCCAGTCAGGAGATGGGATGTTTTAATGGAGAAATAGCAAGGAGGGCATTGTCACTTGATCACACAATCCTTGTGGGGGATGTAAGGTGTAAAAAGTCTTTAAAGGTAGGGAGGGACAGGATTATCAAGGGCTTTAAAAAGCACATAGAGGGGGCAGCTAGGTGATGCAGCAGATAGAGCTCTGGCCTTGGAGTCAGAAGGACCTGAGTTCAAATCCGGTCTCAGACACTTGACACTTAATAGCTGTGTGACCCTGGACAAGTCACTTAACCCCAATTGTCTCAACAACAACAACAAAAAAGAGCAAACAGAGGCACCTAGATAGCACATGGATAGAGTGTTGGGCCTGGAGTCAGGAAGACCTGAATTCAAATCTAGTCTCAGGCACTAACTAGCTGTGTGACCCCAGGCAAGTTACTTATCTCTGTCTGCCTCAGTTTCATCATCTGTAAAATGGGGGTAATAATAGCACCTCCCTCCCAGGGTTGTTGTGAGGATCAAATGAGCTAATAATTGTAAAGTACTTAGCTCAATACTTGGCACTTCATAAATGCTATATTATTATTATTATTATTATTATTACTGTTTCTATTACATTTGATCCTAGAGGCAATAGGCAATAGAGCACCAGTGGAATTGATTAAATGTGTGTTCAGCATAAGCATACCGTTCTGTACAGATGTGGACTTAATAAGTATTCGTTGAATGGACAAATGAATGGAAAACATACAAACAAAAAGAATAAAGAATAAATCAAGACAATATATAAATACCACAGTACTCAAAGGGACAATCCAGAGAATGGGCTTCAGAACAATGGATTAAAATTTCAGGAAAGCAGACTAGATTCCACATGAAGAATGTGGTCCAAACAATGTGTGCTATATGAAAGTAGAATGAGCCATCTCATAAAATAGTGAGTTTCCCAGCCATGGAGGTGGTAGATAGAATGTTATAAAACTTGTAAAGAGGATGCTTATGTTAGGTGGAAGGTTAAATTAGATCACCTTTGAGGTTGCTTCCAACTCTGAGATTCCGCATTTCAGCAATTCTAGGAGAAGTAGGATTGTAGAGGAGAGTGAGGATAGTGTGGTCTGGAAGAGTTAAGAAGTGTTTACTGGAAGGTCTAGGATTTGATTTGAATAGGGATGAATAGGATTGGGACTGGCAGAATAAAGAAAGATAACTTTCCCGGTTAAATAAATATTGAATAAAAGATTGAAGCCATAAATAAGAATAAGCTTATGAACTTGGACCTGTGATTTCATTGGTATAAGGGAATCTCAGGTGAGGAAACACCCTCTACTAGTGCAGATTAGCACTTTCTCTCCAAATTACAGACTTTGAAAATAGCCTAGATCACTAAATGGTTGTGACTTTCCCAAAGTCATCCAACAAGTATGTATCATTGGTGGGATTTAAACCCACATCTTCCTGGCTCCCAGATTGATTTTCTTTCCCCTTCTTCTCTGAATCGTAAAACACACTTGCCACATGGATGAAGAGCAAATAGACTTACTGACTAGTGAATTATAGGCAAAATGAGGAGGATGTTAAGATCAAGCTTGATGTGGTATGTAGAAAAAAACTGCTGTCAAGAAGTAGTATTTATTATTACATACCTCTTATTTGAAAACGTTGTGTAAGAGAAGAAAAAAAAATACTAGAATAGGAGCCAAAAGATAGACAGACAGGGCATTTATTAAGAGCTTACTATGTGCCAGGTGCTATGCTAAGTGCTAGTCATACAAACAGACAAAAAAATAAGACAGTCACTTTCCTAAAGGATCTTACATTCTAGTGGGGGAAGACAACACATAAAAGGAAATTGAAAGGGATGGTGGTAGTGGTGCAGGAGGTATCTGCATGGGCAAAGTCCAGAAGGAAACCAGGGAGTTGTGGGCTGACCAGGTTTAGGCTAAGCATAGCTTACATAGGTTCTTCTCAAATGGAAGTTCAGGGGCAAACTCACCAATCAGATGAGGAGATTGTAGAGGTGAAAGCATGAAGAGCATGAAGATGGTCACTGAGGTAGAGTTTCAGAAAAAATGAAGCCCTGCATGCAAGACTTAACTCTAGGCATGTGATGTTGGGCAAGTCCCTTAACTTTCTGATCCTGTTTTATCAACTGCAAAAATTAAGATAGTAATATTAATGGATTGTTGTGGGGTTTGATATGCAAGCTGTAAAGTGCTTTAGAAATATGACATATGAGGATTATAATTATCCACAAGAAGAGTTTGTAATATATACAACTAAAACTCCAACACAACAATGATTATTATTTTCTCCCCTGTCTCTTGCTTTCTTCCTTAAGAGCAAGCCCTCATTTGTTCAGGATGAATTACTACCCCTCAAGTGGGAGGTAGCTCTTGATCCCAATAGAAACAAAGCCTGTCAAACATCATTTGTCACTGAAAATGCCAAGGGATCTGGTGCTGTTACAGGTATGGATGTTTCATGTCCTCTTTCAGGATGATTAATGTTCAAGAATCAAGTGCATGGTGTAGACGTATGAAGGAAGTGATAAGTAGCTTATGGCCACCCTACTGATTGATTTACATGAGGGAATTATTAGGGGATAACAGTAATTTAATTATTATTGAGGCCAATAATAATTACTTTGGGGGAATATTAAATCCCCATGTACCTAGCCATCTCTGCTTACATTAATTATTTTTGTGTCCAGAATTTATCAATACTATAACCTAAAGGGGACTTTAGTCTTGCTCCGTGACCTCTTCTGGAGTCAGAAGTGTTGTAGAGAAAAACTGGGTTTATCTAAGTGAACTCAGTAGCTTCAGCTAGCAGCTAGAATAGCTTGCTGCATTACATACTTTAAATTGCAATTTTCTGAGGGTATGCAAGTTCATTGAGAGAGTGTAAAGACTTGCATTTTTAAAAATTTTCTTCATTGAATTCAGGACCTTAGACTCAGTAAGATATATCTCCATGATGCTCTTCCTGCCTCCCTTCCCAAATGTCATTCAAACAGCTGACCCACCTTATATTGTTTGCTCTCAATACTCACAATGACATACATTAGCACAATCCTCCACATGCTTAACTCAAACTTCAGTGAGAGGGTGGTAATGGTCTAAGGTGCTTGAATATTGGTGACTTGGTTCATCCTCTGGTTATCTCAACTTTTCTTTGTTACTTTGACATTCTCATTGCTTCCTGGCAGATACAACCATCCCTTTAGTTTTCCTTATAATTTATTGAGCTATCATTTCAAGGTCCTGATTTGTCTTTTCCAATATACATTGATATAAAATATTTATGAAAATAATAATACCTGAACATTAACCTAAACTTAGCAATGTTTTATCTAAATACTGTTAAGACCCATTATTGGACCCTAGTTGGCTTTGGTCACTTCCATCCTCACTCTAATTTAGTCTTTTTTCTATTAAAAAATATCAGAGTTGGAAGGGACCTTAGAACACAGAATATTGTAAGTCAGCAATAATAGTAGTAATAGCAACAACAAAATAATAATAACTAACATTTGTATAGTACTTTAAGGTTTTCAAAATATTTCATTTTAGTTATCTCATTTGAGCCTCATAGCAGCTCTGTGAAATAGGTGTTATTATCCCCATTTTCTAGATAAGAAAACTGAAGTTCAAAGGAGCTAATTGCTTTGCCCAGCACTATACAACAAGTAATCAAACATCTGAGACAGATCTGAAATCAGATCTTCCTGACTTCAAGGTCTAAACTCTATCTATTACATCACCCTAGATCTTTTAAAATGGAAGATTTGATATCAGACCCAGAAGAATCTTTTCATAAAGAATATTAGAACAGAAAGAGCATGAGGACATAAAATATAAGAACTACAAGTAACATTTGAACATAAAAACAGAATTCTAGAGGTGGACAGGAATCTTAGAATTTAGATGTATAGAACTGAAAAGGACCTTAGAGATCATTTAGTCCAAACCCTTCATTTTGAAGATGAGGAAAGCATAGCTCAAAGAGGCAAATTCTCTAGAACACATAGCTTGTTTGTTACAGCACTGGAACTAGGATTCAGGTCTCTTGCCTTTTTGGTTTATGTTTATTCATTGCATTATGACTCTAGAGCACTTTACCCTTTATACTATCACATCCATATTTTCATTCTGGCCTCACAATAATTCTGTGGGACAGATAGGTCAAGTACTATTATTTCCATGTTATAGATGAAGAAGCTGAAACTCAGAGCAGCTAAACAGCTGAGCTGAGATCATACATCTCTTTAATAGTAGAAGCAATAGGGTAGTTGTTGGGGATGGTGGGTATTGGAAGAGCTGGCTTAAAACCCTGAGTCTCTTAATTCCATTCAACTTCCCTTCCTTGGATCAAAAATGTTATTACTTCTATCATTGAATTAAGGAGGCCTTTTGTTTTATTCCCTCTTCATATACTGCCTAGAAGATCAAGGTGCCAGAGATCCTTTATAGCCAGAATAGGAAAATGGGTAACAATTATTAAACAGAGAAAAAAAAACATGACACCCCAGACAATGGGTATGCATCGGCAAATGTTAATTGTTCATGATGCCTGCAGCATCATTCATTATGCTTCTTTGTACATATCTATTTATTTCAAAACCATATCTCTCTAGGGCTGCCAGCTGAGCAAGACTGTGATGGGGGCTCATTTAGAGGCATGAAAGGATCACCAGCCTTACCTCCTACCTTGGACAACTTGGATGAACTACTTGAAGAAATCAGGATATCTGACAGTGAACAGGTGAGACCAAATTTCTCTGTCTGCAGAGTCTCATAACTACCCAATCAGAGACTAAATGCTGGAAAAGACTTCTAAGGACACCTGGTCCAACTTAGATGTGGTCCAGAATCCTTTTTGCAACATCCCCAACAAATAACCATTCTGCCTTTAGGTAAAGAGCTCAGGAGAATCAATTCTCTCCCAAGGCAGCCCTTTCTATTCTTTGTTAGCTCTCTATGGCTTTTTACAACTTGCATTGGTTTAAGTTTCCTGTGCAGCCACAATGGTACTTTTAAGAAATATTCTCCACCTTCTCCCCCATAAGGAATTTTTCTTTGTATTTTCAGATTTTCATTATTGAAAGTTTTCCATCCCTGTTTGTCTGACTTCCCTCACAGAACATGGGCACTTTTCTACTCCCCCCATCCCTTTTCATTTTTAAGCCCTCAAGTAGATAATATTAAAATAGAGAAATAGATAGTTTCATTGCACTTGCTAGGTGTACTTCAACCCTGGGAAAGAATTTCTATGTTTTAAAATGCTAAATTGCATTCTCAGACACGATCTTCTCAGTCAGCTGTTAACTTCCTCCAAACCTTCCTTTTTCTTTGGAAATCTCTATGTTCACTACTGATGGCAGTGATAAACATCCTATATGTGCCCTGAAGACTGTTTGGACTATGGGTACATAACCCTTAGTTACTTCTGGTAAGGCCATTTTTGCCCATAGGCATCAGCAGGGGTTGGCATGGTCCTCAAGTTTGACAAGCCTCTTAAGGCTCTCCATCACTTTTTTAGCCACATGTTCTGAGAAGGCTGAAGAGCTTTCTATTTTTTATGTCAGTCAACAAACAGTTATCTCTGTGCCTCTCTGTAGGGACTCATTAACCATTACACATCTCTTCTTCCATGAACTTGTTCTATTCTTCCAAAGGATGCTTGAATCTCAGTGATAAACTGTAGAGTAAAACTATATTTATAGCCCTTTTGCTTTTTCTGAGGTAAAGATCAACTGACATTTTGTGCATACAGAGGTTATACTTGGTATTATTGGTAGAAATGCAAACCTAATATAATCTGTATCATTTACTTCTTATTCTTCATACTTTTTTGAAGGCAGATCATTGATCCTTTGCTTTTTTTGTAATTATAATTACAACTTACCTTTATATAGTACTTTAAAGTTTAAAAAGTGCTTTGAATTTGTTATTTCACTTGAACTTCACAAAAATGCCATTAGGTAGTTACTATTGTTATCATTAACCATATTTTAGAGCTAAGGAAACTGGGGCTGAGAGAGGTTCAATAGCTTGCTCATGAACACATAGCTATTGTGTCAAATGCAGTCTTTGAGCATAAATTTTCCTGACTTCAAAATTAGAACTCCATTTACCTACCCTCTTAGGTAACTCTTACGTCTAAGCACTGATAAAAATTGTCTTTGCCATTTTTGTTTACTGCATGGAGGGAGTCTCATTTTGCTCATTCTAGCCATATCTGATTAGTTGCCTGTATTTGGCATCTAGAAGATTTCTGCCATGCCCTTACAAAATCAGAAAGACTGAACATAATCCCCAAGCAGAAATTCAATTACAAATTAGAATTCATTCCATGCTTTGTTTTTGCTTGCCATTCAACTTCAAACAGTTTCCTTTACTTCTTTTGTTCCTTGACTTTTTGGAAGTGGTTTCCCTTTTGGTAGAAGTAGGTAGAGACTGGATGACCATCTGTCAACCACGGTGTAGTGGGGATTCTTGGTCAGGTATGATTTGTACTAAATGGCTGACCTCTGAGGTCCTTTAGAGTTCTACAATTCTATAATTTTCTAATTCACAGGGCATTGATAAATTTCAAATGAGTTGTGACACAAAGTATATTGTAGACTGTAAGATATAGCTTGTTGTTATGGCAAAACTAATTTTAAATAAAAGAAAAAAGAGCCAAATATTTATTAAGCACTTATTATGTGTTAGGCATTGTGCTAAATGCTGGGGATACAAATACAAACAAAAAGAAACACAGTCCTTGCCCTCAAGGAACTCACATTCTAATAGGGCAAGACAACACATTAAAGAGAGCTAAGAAAGGGTGGGGAATGGAGGAAAAGGTACCTGGTAGGGGCTTGGTGGTAAAGGCTGGTAAATGAAGGCTGATTAATTTGGGTCTTTCCTCAAAATGGAGGTTCTGGGACTTCCACTTCTGGGAGCCAAGATGGCAGAGTAAAAAGGTAGTCGCTCTTACCCTCCCCTATCAACCTCTGAAAACTCAGAAAATATCACCCCAGAAAAAACCCTGGAACAGCTGAACCAGAAGAAAGACAGGGTGCAGCAGTGCAGTAGCCCAGGTAGCTAGAGGGATTGATGGGAAAGGCCCCGCTTACCCTGGGGGAAGGGGAGCAGTACGAAACAGGAGTCGCTCAGCCAGCTAGTGGAAAGACCCACTTTCACACACCGGGAGGAGATTCTGGCGCCTCCACATTCTACAGCAAATGGGTCACCCAGTGCCTCAGCAAAAATAAGAGAAGCAGCACTACAAAGGGCCCCAGGTGGATAATGATAAAAAAAAATTTAATCAAGTGGGTTGAATGGATCCAAGTAAGTGGATTAGTCTGAGCTAAGAAAATGTACTAAGAAAGGAGGAGGCAGACAAGGGTAAATTACATTACAGGAAAAGACACAAAAACCTATTAGAGCAGAGGTAAAGAAGGGAGGGGGATGAGCATTGTTTGAACCTTACTCTCATCGGATTTGGCTTGAGAAGGGAATAACATAATCAGTTAGGTATAGAAAACTAACTTACACTATAGGTAGTAGGAGGGGAAAGGGGAAAGAAAAGGGAGGGGGTATAGAAGAGAGGGAAGAAGCAGTAAGGGTAAAGGGGAAAAAAGGGAAAGGGATAATAGAAGGGAGGTGGGACTGAAGGAGGCGCTGGTCAAAAGCAAAACACTAGTGGGGGGGAAGGAGAAAGGA